CCGCAGCCTGCCCAGCCTGGATCGCAGAAGGGCCGGCGGGAGGGACGCGTCCTCGGGGCCCGGAGCCGGGCACCCACACCCAGGAGCCTGTCACTGTCCGCCTGCGTCTGCCACCCAACCCGGGGCATTCCGCGGCATCTCGGGAATGAAGGTCGCCATCCCGCCATCCCAGCCGCCAGGCAGAGGGCCTGCTTTTCCTGGCGACATCACAACCAGGTCACAATTACCGTCCGTCCCAGCCACGCGTCCCTGGGCCTCCCTCTGACCCGCCCGGGTGCCAGCAGCTGATGGGCGAGGCCCGAGGTCAGCCTGGCAGGGGAGGTGGCCGGGCCTGGTGACCGGTTCTGCAGGCCGAGCCGGCCCGCCCACCTCCTCTGCAGAGAGGACCAGGCCAGGGACCGGCCAGGGACGCCGCTGCTACCCGGTCTGGGCCTCGGCGTCCCCCGTTCAGTGAGCTCAGGACAAGCGGCTCCACAGCGGCTGTGTGGCAGGGGGATGGCTGTCCCCAAGCCCCAGCGACACAGCAAATTAACAAATGTCTTCATCTTTGCCAACCTAAAAGGTGGGAGGACAACTGCCTTCGTGGTGGCTTCGTTTGTATCTGATGAGTCCCTCCGCTGTGTCTAAAGGCCGGCTGCGCTGCGTTTCTTTTTCAAAAACCCTGTTCTTTACCCATTTAGCTACTGGCGTGTCGTTCCTATTATTTCTAGAAGGAAGCTTTTTACATATTAAGGAAATCAGTCTTTTATCTATCACATCTGAAAAGTTGGCCTCCTCCTCTGTGAAGGGGCTGAGCAGGCGCCGTGGTTCCTCAGACACGTGAGGAGGTGCTGGGAGCTGGACCGGGGCCTCACGTGTGCGAAGCGAGCGTCCACGCTGAGCCACACCCCGGCCTTTTGAAAATTCTGAATTTTGAGACGGACTCTCGTGAAATTGCTGAGGCTGGGCTTGAACTTGCAATCCTCCTGCCTCAGCCTCCTGAGTAGCTGGGATCACAAGCGTGTGCCACCGCACCTGGCCATTATTCATCTTTTAATGAGAGACTTCTGGGTTCCATGTCATGTTAGGCACACTGGGGCCGTCACTGGAGTCCCCTGTTTTCTTCCAGCAGTTGGTCATTCCTAGCTGGTGGGGTGGGGGTCTGGAAGGGAGCCCATCTACAATTTATTTTGGTTTTAGCCATTTTAAAACCTCCGTCTGGAGTAGGCCCAGCTACCGGGGAGGCTGAGGCAGGAGGATGGCCTGAGCCCAGGAGTTTGAGGCCAGCCTGGGCAGCAGAGAGAGCCTGATCTCCAAAATAAACCCACAGCCATCTGAGTCTGACGGCGGGCGGCGGCGGCTGGGGCATGTCCAGCCTGGGGCCAGGGGCCGGGCTGGTCCCACTCCTCCCTGGGCTCCTGGGAGAGGTCACTTGTGCTCCCCCTGCTGGGCTTCCTCGTCCGTGAAGTGGGACGAGAGCATCAAGGGGGCCCACCCTGAGCACCCCCAACGCCCCACCCTTCCGGCAGGGCCTGGGCGCGAGGCCACACCGTCCACGGCTGGAGGGGACGTTCCACTGGCCGAGGGCAGACGTGGAATGGGGCCCGGCGCCTGTCCTGTGGGGCTGGAGGGCGCCGGGCAGTGGCTGGGCACCCCGCAGGCGTGTGGTCACGAGGGTTAGCTGCCTCCTGTGGGAGCCACGGAGTCTTGGTCACCCGCTAAACCCCGTGGAGCGCCCACCCTCTGAGGAACCATCCCCATCTCCTGGTTTCCCACGGGGGTCCCGGAGGCTCCCCTACTCAGGCCCTGGCCACCTGAGCAGAGGACAGTGTGTGCAGTGTGTCCCTCTCTCCCAACTGGGCGGCCCCAGAGGGCAGAGTGCACGGCCCGCAGCCCAGCTGGACACAGGCAGATGCTGGGTGACTATATCAGGTCCTTGCCCGGGGCCTGCCCTCCAAGGAAGAAGAGCCAAGTCGTCCCTGGGCCAGAGACCCGCACCGTCAGCCGCCTCCCTCCGCCGCTGGCTCGGCTCCAGCCATGCCTGCGCCCTGCCCCAGGGCCTTTGCATGTCCGCACCAAGGCCGGAGCCGCCTGGATCCCTGACCCTGCGCTGCGCGGCGCCCTCCTTCACATCTCCTGGGAGGCCACCGCCCCGGGAGGGAGGCTCCTGCCGGCCGCGCCCCGCCCTTCCCACCACGTGACCGCGGTCATCCCCACTGGAGCGGCCGGGAGGGCCGGCGCGGGCGCCATGGAGGGGCTGCGGCGCGGGCTGTGGCGCTGGAAGCGCTACCACATCAAGGTGCACCTGGCCGACGAGGCGCTGCTGCTGCCGCTCACCGTGCGCCCGCGGGACACGCTCAGCGACCTGCGCGCGCAGCTGGTGGGCCAGGGCGTGAGCTCCTGGAAGCGCACCTTCTACTACAACGCGCGGCCGCTGCGCGACCACCAGACGGTGCGCGAGGCGCGCCTGCAGGACGGCGCGGTGCTGCTGCTGGTCAGCGACCCCAGGTGGCCGGGGCCGGGCACGGGCGGGCGCTGCTCCGGGTGGTGTCCCTGTCCCCCTGCCCTGCTCCACCCTTCTTCTCTCCGTGTCTCTGTTTCGTCTCCACGTCGCCGTGTGTCTCTTCTTGTCTCTGTCTGAATCCGCATCTGTCTCTGCTTTCTCTCAGCGTGGGCCTCCCTGCCTCCCGGCCTCTTTTCCTTTTGCTGCCAGGGATTGAACCCTGGAACCACGGAGCCCCACCCCCAGCCCTTTTTATATTTTGAGTGAGGGCCTCGCTAAGTTGCTGAGGCTGGCCTTGTCTCTGTGGTCCTCCTGCCTCAGCCTCCGGAGCTGCTGGGATCACAGGCGTGGTCCCTGGCCCTGCTGCCTCTGCGGCGGGCTCTGTCCCTGCCTGTCCCCTCTCTGTTCCTTCTCCGCCCACTTGTCTCTCCACAGTTTGTCCTGAAACTTGCTGCCCACACTTGGACCTGGCCACAAGGGGACTCCAGGGCAGTCCCCTGGCCGAGGTGACTGAGGAAGGGTCTCCTGCCCCAGGAGGGGTCTGCAGAGCCGGGCTCTGGCCCTGGAATGGCACCTCCAGAGGGGGAGGCCCTGGGAGCTGGGTGGCAGCAGGCACTTGGCAAGGTGGGTGGGTGGCAGAGGGGACAGGGGCTGGTCATGGAGTCTCAGACGGCATCTTGAGGTGTTGAGCGGAGAAAGGACAGGGTGTCACAGTGTGGCCCTTGTGACACTTGCCAGGCCTGGTCCACCAAGCTTGGGATGTGGTTTGAGAGATGGAGCCTCGGCCGCCATTCTGTTCTGGGAGGCTGGAGGCAGGGGACCCCGCTGGGCCCGATTGAGGAAGGTCTTGGGGGCAGGGGGAGGCTTGTGGGTGATGAAGGGTGGGGCTCAGGGCTGAGAGACCACGTTCCTGGCGGTGGGCGACCCCCAAACAGCCGGAAAACGGTCGCTCAAGGTGCTGGAAGCTTGGAGGAAGCGCCACTCGCCAGGCGCGCTCCAGGCCTCGCCTTGGGGAAGCTGCTGTCCAGTTGGGGGGCAGACGCGCCTGTCATGAAGTGCCAGCTCTTGACCATGGCTGCGAGGAGAGGCGGCCACTCTGGCAGCAGTGGCCGGAAGCCTGGCTGGGAGGGACAGGGCCAGCAACAGGAGGGGGGCGCTCCAGGCAGAGGACACGGCCAGCCGTGCCAAGGTCCTGAGGCACCGGGTGGGGGTCCCTGAGGGAGGAGGGAGCCGTGCAGGGCAGTGGGCAGAGGACGGGCCTGACTCGGGTGCCCGCGGGCTGTTGGGCCAACTCTGGGGCAGCGGGCTTGGGGGTGAGCGTGGGGGTCAGGAGAGGGCGGAGAACGTGTGGGCCTCCTGTGGCTCCGGCCCTGCCCTGGGGTTCTGTCCTGTCCTGGGTACTTGACCACACAGAGCTGGGCCGATGGCCGGGCCGGCTGTGCCCCCCAGCAGACAGGGAGAACAGGCCCCCGCCCCTCGTCTTTGCCACCCCCTAGCTGTGTGTCCTCGGGCGGTGCACCCAGCCTCTCTGGGCCTCCAGTGGGCTCTGAGACCTGGAGCTACACACAGACAGAGGTGGACAGGGCCCCAGCTGTCCGTCAGAGGGGGACGCGCTGGACCTGCTGCCCACTCTGCTGGCTGTGCCTCACCCGGGCCCCGGGCTCCCTCCTGTCACCTCTGGTCTCTAAACTGTGAAGTGGGTGGCGACTCTCCCGCCTCCAGATGGCCGCACTGCCCAGGGCAGTCGGCACAGGGCACCTGCTGCCCATGCCGGCCAGCGTGGACGAGGAGGCGCCAGGGTGCCCAGGGCCCAGCTGCCACCGTCTGCCTGGATTCCAGGCGGGTGGGGGGCGGAGCCCGGGCCTGGCCTGATCCCTGCGCCCTCGGCGGCCCTCCGCGGTGGGGACACTCACGGCTCTGACTTCTACTGTCATTTCACTGGGTGTCAAGTGCCCCTTCCCCAGCACCCACCCCCTCAGCCCCAGAGGTGCCCACTGCACTGTCCCTGTCCCCTGCCCCCAGCGCTCAGGGCTCCCAGCTCCGGGGGAGTCAAAGCCCAGGTCGGCCCTGCAGACGGCAGGCCCCTGCACATCCTGCCGGTCCCCTCCCTCCCTCCTCCTGGGCCTCCACCCGCCAGGCCCAGTCCTGCCCCCAGGCCTTGGCCCAGCTGCACCCTCTGCCGGGAGCTTTTGCCTGGATGCCATCTCCCCTCCCCCCCCCCTCCGCCCAGGCCCCACGCCCACCACCCAGCACCTCCTTCACCCAGAGCCGCACCCACCCGCTCCCCTGGGCCGCACCCCCAGGGCAGTGCGGGCACACAGTAGGTGTTCAGACAGCGCTGACTGTCCGCTCAGGATGCTGCCGGCCCCGGTGGTGACTGGGAGTGGGGAGGGCGTCCCGGCAGGCGGCCTGGGGCGAGGGCCGGGTCTGTCTGAACCTGTGTCTGTCTGTCCCTCTCTTCAGGTAGTCTGGGTGGAGGAGGCGGAGCCACGCTGGAGGGGCCTCCAGGTGCTGCGGGAAGGAGCTGGCGGGCGCGGGCACCTGGGCCTTCTCCAGGTAGGTCACTGTAGCACCTGGAACCCAGAAGGGACCTCGGCAGAAACGGGGCCGGCACAAGACAGGACAGGCCTGCGTCAGTCACCCTCCTCCGTGCTTCTGCCCTTGGGCTGGAGATGCTGTCTCCACTTCTCAGCTGCCTTTGGATAAAGGAAATGGCTCTGAGCAGTGCTGCCCCCAACTTGCTGTGTGACCTTGGGAAGTCGCTCCTCCCCTCTGGGCTCTGTGCTGCCATCTTGAAGTGGAGCCTGGGGCTTTGATTGGCACCTGTTCCCGCCTCACTCTTTGCCTGCAATTCCTGGGTCTGCCACCAGGTGGCCCAGCACAGCGGAGCGGGGGGCAGGGGAGCCCCTGGAAGCCACCCCTGTCCCTCTGGGAGGGAACAGGGACATAGAGGTGGGTGCAGGGGCAGCGGCCAACGTCAGAGCTGTTAGGGAAAGGGGAAGGACATGGGCCTGAGAGCCGGCCACCCCCTGGCCTGGGCTGAAGTGGCCTTTCCCTCTGCTGCTGCCCCAGGTCGGGGCTCCCAGGTGCAGGAGAGACCCAGGGCCTCAGGCTGCGGCCGCACCTCGAACTCTTGGTGGAGCCCTGTCCCCGACGCCGACCTAGGACGTCTGTCCCTGACCAGCTCCACAGCCCAGCCGTGGCCTTCCCTCTGTGCCGTGACCTGGAAGCCAGTCTCCTCCCTGTGGACAGCCAGAGGGGACCCCGTGATGGGCACCAGACTGCACCCACCTGATCCCCCACCCAGCTCCGCACAAGAGGGGCCCCTCTTGCCTGGGACCATGTGACGGCCCTCCTGCCCCTGCTGCCCCTGCCGGGCGCCCCATCACCAACCAGCCCAGTGCAGCCTCCTCCAGGAAGTCCCCTGGGACTGGCTGCTCCCCAGCGGCCAGCACCTGTCCCCTCTGGGCCCACAGGCCTCCTGCTGTGAACATTCACCCAGTCTCATAAGCCAGAGGGGGACCTGGTGGCCCCAGCCCTGGGCTGGTTCTCGAACCCTGTGTCCCTACAAGTCCCTGAACATGCATCTGTCCCCCTGCGTGGACTCTGGCCTGGGCCGTGCAGCTGCCCCTGGCAGGGTGCTCTCTCCGCCCTGCGCCCTGGGTGGCCGCGGCTCTGGTCTCTGAGCCTTGCTTTTCTGCAGGCCGGGCCCTGCGCTGGGGGGAGGTCCCCGCCGTCCTGGGTGGCCTTCCCGTCCCCACCTGATCCCTGGCTGCAGCCCAGCCCCGGCTCCTCCCGGAGACCTCCCCTGCGCTGGGCCGCGAGGCCGCGTGGCTGCCAAGGACGCAGGGCCCCACTCCCGCTCCCTGCCGCCGCGAGCCGCTGCACACCTGTAGCGAGGTGGCCGCCAGGCGCCTGGCCGGCTCACAGATGGGCTTCAGCTGCCCAGGGCACCGGCCTGGGACTCCCGCCCAGCCCCTGGATTGGGCCCAGCCCAGACAGGACGGGAGGGAGGACGGCAGGGTCCCTGCTGCCAGGAGGGTGGGGGAGGGGGCGTTTTCAGGGCATTTGACATTTAACAAACAGTATGCAAATCACATGCAAATTGCATGCAAATCGCCACCCATTTCTTAAGCCCCGACAGCTCTGGCGTGGTCTGAAATAATAATGTCGGACCCGTCCCTGGGTGATGGCCTGGTGGGGGAGCAGGCCGCCTGCCCGTTCCCTCCCTGCCCCTTCCTTTCTCTTCTCCAGCCCCCCGC